AAATCATCACTGCATCGAGTTGTATCTACGAAAAGTGTTATAGAATCGGAAGAAATAAGTTACATATCATTAGAGTCTTCAAAGAGCTCGTTTCGCAAATTACAGATTTACATATCTGTAATTTGCGAAACGGCGCACTTCTGACCTTTTGGCTCGAGCTCTTTATTACAAAATCATCACTGCATCGAGTTGTATCTACGAAAAGTGTTGTAGAATCGGAAGAAATAAGTTATATATCGGTAGATTCTTCGAAGAGCTGGTTTCGCAAAATACAGTACGGGTTTACTCGTCTCGTTTCGTTTCGTTTCGTTTCGCAAAATACAGTAAGCCCGTGAAAGTCTGTCAGGCCCTCGACTCCGAAAGTACAGGCTACTTTAGGGGTAGGCAATGAACAAATTCTACTGACGATGTCAGAGAAACTTAATTATCGTAATTCCAATTAGGATGTATATGAAGATAGTTTAAAAAATTTCGTCTGTTTAGATTTTGCAGACGAAATTTTAGGCCATGAATTCTAGCCAAAAGGTACCTTGTATTGCTTCCCAATATTGCTAGCTGCCTACAAATCCTTTGGAAGATCAATTGAAAATTTAAAGTGCTTTGACAACCTGCAATCCAAAAATGTTTGATGGTTTTACTCCCTCGAAATGGATATATTTTCAACTGAACTGGGTTTCTTTGATACAGGGACGTTCACTCGTATAGTGATTTTTCTCATTGCTTTACCACATGGTTGGCTCTTGAAACAATGATTTCTTTTGTTTATAGGTTGGAAAAATTTGATGAAACATCAAAAGAAATTTGACATCAATATTTGTAGACCAGATGCATCACTATAAGTGATGAACCAGCTCTTAGAAATCACTCAGGTGTAATACACTGATGGGTGGACCCTTAATATATCAGGTCTATAAGGAAACATTGGGTTACACAACAACCCAAAATAATGACCCATCAAGAGGTTCAGGGAAAAACTCCTTGCCAAAATGAATCACCAACCCCTTCCCCAAAGAGCAAAATAGTCGGACCCTTCCAGTAATTAACCAGAAAAATGGAGCTACACTGCACTCATGTGTGTCACATTAAGAGCAGCCCCTTTGCAAGAGCTCAAGGAGCACTACTAGTAGGGTTTTTTTCGTTTTTTTTGCAGCCTCTAAGGAAACACTGGGTTGCACCACCATTTGCTGGTGCCCAAATTACACAGTCCCTAACAAATAGAAGTCACACTCATTCAAAATACTGCTCCCAATAACAATTCATTCACTGCAATAATAATTCATTCACTCCCAATAATTAAGGTTTTCAGTAAAATAGTACACAATCAGTGCATTGATACTGATGGAAAATGCATGGAAAACACAACCCCAAATAGAAAACAAAACAAAACAGGTGATATTCTGGTACAAAAATTTCTGCCCCTAATGAAATAAACCATGCAGACACAAGAGTGGCAGGGCTCACTCCCTACCAAAGCTATATAAATTTTTAATTCCAATATGCATTGATTTGTATACAAGTCCCCACGACACTGCAATGCAGTATGCTTCCCTAGGTATATGCTCAAATTAACTAGTAATTTCAAGGTCTATCTATCTCAAACAACCTTAAAAGTCAGTTACTCCAGAGAAACAGTTTGCATGCAAACTATTCTGGAGTACTATACAAGAAAGTACAATTTCAGGAAAGCCACAAGTGAAACATTACTCACTTTGAACAACAGATATGCATTGATTGGCAAGACTTAACTTTGAGGAAGCCTACAATGCTTTAATAAGGACTACTTACTCAATAGGATTTCAATAAAGGCTGATAGTTTTGAAAGAAACTGTTTGGGGCTGCGTCTGTGGGAGTCACGAAATAATTTGGATATATCAACAAAGTTGAAGTGGTAAATTGGCCACTGTAACGATTACAAAAGCTGATGTTTCGGGCGTTAGCCCTTCGTTGGAGTAAATGACGAAGGGCTAATGCTCGAAACGTCAGCTTTTGTAATCGTTACGGTGGCCAATTTACCACTTCAACTTTGTTGATATATTCAATAGGATTTCAATCTCAATCAATCATACAAATTTCCATCAAACGTGTAAGTCTTTGGTTTAGGATATTGGTAATAATCATTTAATCAGCTTTTGTACCCAAAAGAAGCACTGTCTTGCAGGATGTGCCATTTTGCCAGCTGCCAACCTATGATGTGCCATCAAGAAAGCTTTCAGTACTTCAATGGGCACCCAGAGGCCTCTAAAAACAGTGTAGATCATATCTTCAATCAAATATGGCCCCATGGATAATATGATATAATGATAAGTTCATTACAAAAAGCAATCAGTCTCACAAGAATGAAAACTTACAAAAGTATTGCTCTCAAGGATGCAGTTGTGGGACAATCAGTCAATGTTTGGGAGAAAAAAATTGTCCATTTGTATGTTAAGTTCAGTGCTGAGCAAAAATACCAAGTTGTCTCTGCACATGCTCCTGTGCACGGTATTGATGTTACAAAGGAATAATGCACAATTAGGAATCAGATGCAGAATAACCTATAAGTGACAAACTAGCTCTAGAAAATCACTAAGGTATAATACACTGACGAGTGACCCTTAATATATCAGGTCCAAGGAAACATTGGGTTACACAACAATCCAAAATAATGACCCACCAAGAGGTTCAGGAAAAAAAAATCCTTGCCAAAATGAATCACACCCCCTCCTCCAAGAGTAAAATAGTTGGACCCTCACAGTAATTACACAGAGAAATGGGGTAACACTGCACTCATGTCTCACATTAAGAACAGCCCCTTTGTGACAACTCAAGGAGCATTACTGGTAGGTTTTTTTTTTTTCTTTTTTGTGGCTGCTGTGTTGCCTCTAGGAAAACAGTGGGTTACACCACCATTTGCTGGTGCCCAAATTGTACAGTCCCTATAGTTAATGATATACTTCACACTCATCATTACTGCTCCCAATAACAGTAATAATTCATCAGTAAGTTTTTCAGTAAAATACACAATCAGTGCATTGATATTTATGGGAAATGTATGGAAATTAACATATTAACCCCAAATAGAAAACAAAACAAAACATGTGACATTCTGGTACAAAAAAATTCTGCCCCTAATGAAATAAACCACGCAGACACAAGAGTGGCAGGGTTCACTCCTTACCAAAGTTGTATAAATTTTTTATTCCAATATGCATTGACTTGTCTACAAGTCCCCTCAACACTGCAATGCAATGTGCTTCCATGGGTATATGCCCCTATTAACTAGTAATTACAAGGTTTATCTATCTCAATTAACCTTAAAAGTTAAACTTATTCCAGTGAAAAAGTTGGTATGCAAACGATTCTGGTTTCCCATACTAGAAATTTCAATTTCTGGAAAGCCACAAATAAAACATTACTCACTCTTGAACACCAGAGAAGCACTGACTGGCAAGATGTGCCATTTTGCCAGCTGCCAACCTTCGATGTGCCGTTGAGAAAGCTTTTAGTGCTTCAATGGGTATACTCTGATGGACTGGTAATTTCAATGTTTTACTTCTATCTCAAACAACCTTAAAAGTCAAACTTACTCCAGAGAAACAGTTTGCATGGAAACTATTCTGGTGTACCATACTAGAAACTAAAAAATTATTTCAGGAAAGCCACAAATGAAACATTACTTTCTTTGAACAACAGATAAGCATTGATTGGTAAGATGTATCATCAAGGACACCTTCAGTGCTATATTAAGTTCAATGCTGAGCAAAAATAAAGTTGTCTCTGCACATGCTCCTGTGCACACTATTGATGTAACAGGAATGATACACAATCAGGAATCTGATGCATAATAACCTCTGTCAATTATTTCAACATTGAAATAAACCAGCCCAGTAGCCAAAAATATATTTAGACACAATATCAGGGGACAAGAGGGACAATGGTCTCACTGGTATACTAGGTTCTACAAGTACACTAGGTCCTTCCTTGAACAATGAATATGTCAAGACAGACCATTCTTGAAAAAAAAAAATCAAAATGACAAGCTTGCAAGCAGGAGCTTGCTTCATTCTGGCTACAGCCTTGTAAATTAACTGTTTGACCCTAAAAATTCAAATAGGGTTATGGCCTACCGGCATGTTTCTGGTTGTTGGATTAACACTAGGTTCAATAATATTACTTCTCTCTGAATTATGATTTATGTTATCTATATTCCCAATGAAGACTTTTGCTCTTCGGTAAAGAGGACACCAGGCATGGCTGATCTGAAATGTCATAATATGATGTTACTAAAAGATATAAGGCTTTGACAGGGTGCAAATTCTCTGTAGAAGAGGGAAACTAGGTTGTTTTGAGTTAGACATGACTCTTGCCTCCCTTTTAATTTCCTCTTCTGTGGCAGAGCGAAATGCTGTCACAGCAACAGTAACACCCCTATAAAAACATCTTGGTGCAACAGCCAAAAACACCAGAACCAATATGTACCTTGTGCTCTTTAATTTTCCAGATTCAGCCTTAGGTTGCTCTGATAGGCCACAGTCAATTGCTAAACCAAACTGATGTGTTCTTAATTAGTTAAGACCTAGGACAGTGAGAAACATTACAGTCAATAAGTGATAGATATAACATGAGAGGCAGACCTGTATGGGTATTTACAATGGCAATAAGCCATTGGCAAGCCTTGGAAAATCTCAGACAGACCTGGCATGACAAATATTGCATAGATCTTGGACCAGTGAAATGAATGTGTGGCAAACTAGGGCAATACTACAGCATTTATAACTTACATATCACTTTGGGTTTTGGTCTATTTTTTTTTTTTTTTTTCAAAGCAGATCAACTTTACTTTTCATCAGCTCAGATTACTTATAATCTGAAAAATGGGCATAAAAAAATTAAATTGATTTCATTAATATTAGAACTGAAAATCTGTTTGTATGTTTTGCATGTTTACAATGTGGTAATCACATCAGGAACACAACTCGTGTAGTTTTCTTTATCGAAACAGGAAATCATCAACATGGATCATGATGTGACCTTTGTTTACCCTTGGATTTTCATTAAGCTTATGTAACTAGCCAGTATCTCTTAGAATAATGACCTATTTCATTTAATACCCCCACCCCCTAATTGAAGTTACATTTTGAAGGGGGTCAGCAAACTTAATTCTGTGGGGGTAAGATAGTCAGCTGCTTTGATCTGGAATGAAATGGCTGCTATTCTGAATAAGGTATTGTATAGGGATTTGTGTCTTTTTTTTTTTTTTTTTTTTTTTTAATTTCCTGGAGGGTAAATCCATGGTGAGCCCTTCAATTGGGGGATGTGGCTATTAAATGGAATGACCCAATGTATACAGTAGTTACCCATCCTCCCCCTCCAATAAAACATTACCTAACCTAGATTATCTGTTAGGAAGGAAAGAACCCACCTTATCACGAGGTAAATCAGTTTACAATCAATCCAAAAATGTTGACTCTACCTAATAGGGAAAGAGCCTGAATTTATTAAATCTAGCTTGAATTTTAATGATAAGTTCCGCTGCGCAACCACGTCCAGTCCCGTAGTTTCATAATAATAATGATCATCACTTTATTTAAGTCGCAATGGATTTAGCCGAGTACAGTGACTCTACTAACCGTCATCTGGTTAGCTCAATTGGGAGAGCGCCGGACTGTGGTGCGGGAGGTCGTGAGTTCGATACCGGCCGGACCAACACTCAGGGTCTTAAAATTAATTGAGAAGAATATGCTTCCTTTCTTTAACATCAAGAAATGGTTAGATATTCTAGTCTTCTCGGATAGGGACGAATAAATGGAGGTCCCGTCTCCTGCAGGGTTGGGGTAGGAGACGTTAATTTCCCACGCACGAGATTACTGTGTGATGGATGTCCTCCCTGGGGTGGGTTGAATGAGTAAGTGAAATGGCTAGGGACTAAACACGGCTGCCAGAACCGCCTATCTGATTTCAACCTTAAAAAACTGTAACTAAACACGTATGTTGTTTCGAGAAATAGACCTTTACCTTTACTAATTGAGGAGACTGCAAATCAAACTGAACCACAACAAATCAAATGAAATTCAAATCAACGATTAGAATTTCCCATAAGACGCGATGAACCAAAACTGCACTAACCTTTCTCTGCGTTTTGGGTTCCTCAACAATTGATTTCTTCCTTGCAGCTTCTTCGCGTCTGAGGAGCGAGTTCAATCGATTGTAATATTTCTGCGACATGTAACCGCAGATCTTCTGCTGTCTTTCGAAGCGATCCTTTTCGATCTGTAACGCCGACACAAGTACCTTTTCTTTATGTAGTCGTCTTTCTCGCCTTTTTCGCTTCTTCCATTCTCGGGTCATACGTCTTACCTCCTCCTCTGTGTTTCCACGACTTTTTTTTGCCCATGACGACTTGGGCAAAAAGGAAATTTCACTACATAGGCAATCCTCGGAGGCTTCCCGCCACTATTCTAGGGTTTTGACCGCTGATCAGTGTAATCAAAATTTAGCACAATTTAGCAACACGACCTCCCCTCTGAATTGGCAAATAGCCTCAAATTGTCAAATCCCACCATAATCATCAATTTAACATGAGGCAAGGCCGCTGATCGTATTGATCAAAGACTCGGGCTTGAATGTCTTCCCACTGCGAGATGTGCATGTGAAAAGCGTGTAGTCCTGGAATTTTCCAGCTCGTAATCGACTGTAAATTTACTTGACGGTGAGTAAGCCAGTACCATTTACAGGAAGGAGAGTCAGTCTTTTCGCCTTTTTATTTTTGCAAGGAAACTCTTATCTCTTCTCCTTTTTTTTCATCTGAGTTTTCGAATTCATAAACATCAGAAACATCATTGTCTGTACGCGTTACTAAAATACTTATTTTTTGGAAACCACTTGGAATTTTCGATCAGCGATTATTTCAACGATAGACATAATTTAGTAACACGCATTTACCGTACGATTTTTATGATTACGATGGACTTTTAGCTAAATTTGTGGGCTTAAGTTTTCATGCGAAATAGTGCGACACATTTTCACACTCGATTGTCGTGTAACGCTGCGTTTGCTGTTCAAAAAAGTTTGAGAGGAGTTCATTGTTCAGATGTTCACTAAGTTCATAAGTTGTGTCTGTTTACCCTTTATGGGTTAATGTGATCCTTAGGACAGACAGAGAAAGTCAAAAGTCGAGAGCTGCAAATGACAACTAATATCGAACATTGTGGTCACTATCTGTCTTCCCATTGGCTAAAAGCCCACAGTTAATTCTGTTAAATCTGTGAATAACTGCAACCTAAAGATTATTAGTGAATAATCTGTAGGTTGCACACACAGTGCATGATTTCTAAGAGTTATTTCATTGATTTGCTCCTTCAACAGTGCATGTGTTGTTGTTTTCTTCCAAACAATGTGTAGTTAAAACAATTATATATTGAATTAAGTTTTTGTGATACAGTCCAGAATAATCAAGGTTTAGGTAAGTGGTATTAGCCAAAGCGAAAGGCTGAGGCTGATAACATGTAACTCAACATTAACATTGATTATTCCAGATAGCACAAATCCGAATTCAATGATTGTTTTCAAATTCTAGTATACTTTTTAACAACATGTAGCTATAACAGAAGAGTTTGACATATATCTTATTGACCAAGCGCGAGGGCCGTACTGGGAGAATATCGGCCCGAGGTCTTGACAGTACAGACCGAGCTGCGCTCGGTCCATATAAGACAGAGGGCTGATATTCTTCCAGT